ACTATTTGTTTGCAAACAGCTGGCAAAAATTACAAATGGTGAGTTCTATTTTTTTAAACGTTTGGCTATGTTCTTCCCTACTTTGAATGGATTTTCATTTGTTGCTTTTCTCCCATTTTTTTGATTTTTCCCATTTCTCTAGGAGACACCATGTGTTCGATTTTAATCCTGATCATGTAGTGGCCCGCTGCGAGTGTGCTATTTGCGAGTTCTTCAGGGCTTGCGCCTACATTTTTGAAAGAAGCTTTAGTATCTTGTTTTTGATACTCTTGATGCTCTCTGATGATCTCATGTGAGTTACTAACATTAAGTCTGTCACTGGAAACGTTTCACCTATATATACAGGCCTTTAAGTGGTTTGCGAAACCAAATATTCAATTGAATGTGGCTGAGAATTAGTGGTTAGGCAAACCTGAACGAGACACTGAGAACAAGCGAGAATCTAGTCAGAACCTAGACATTCCCATTATTTGTTGGTTCCTTCTTAAAATGACCCACACTTTTTTAGGCAAGTATGACGTGGTTTTGGACCAAGACCATTTCGAACTGCTCCTCTCGCAACATACTGCTCCTCCTCCGTCGACGAAAGCAGCTGAATGTAACGCAATTCGAGTGGCGTTCCCGCCTCACACAATCGTTAAAGAGCGCTCATTTTGTGTATGGTAAGTGTAGTGAATATTTCAATAGAATTACACTCTATTAGAATTTTTTAGCCATCCAATGTCTGCACCTCTGTCGACATCGCGTGGATTCCTTTGCGAGCAATGTGGTGCTCGACATTGTTCCTTACCAGCCGAGTGCCGTGTCTGCCGAATGACACTCGTTGCCGCCCCGCAACTGGCTCGAGCATTTCGACACTTGGTCCCGCTTCCTGCCTTCACACCTGTTTCAGTGACCGAGGGGTAAGGAAAACTTTTTTGTTGATCTTTCCGTAAAGTGCATGATCTCTGCTCCTTTTTCAGTGAATGCATGGCATGCGAAGAGCCACTCTCAGGCGAAGGTTTCGCTTGCAAATCATGTGAAGCGATCTTCTGCTTCGACTGCGACATACTTCTCCATGAAAGCCTCCATGTTTGTCCAAACTGCGTTTAACCGGTGCAAACCGGGAGCGGTGCTGTGCTGTTGCAAAGCTAATAACTCTGATGTTCGAAAAACACAGTAAGACTTAGATGTTACTAAAGACAGTGATCACGATGGCTGGAAGGCAGTACCATTTCGATAGTATCATTGAACGTCATTCGTGGATGGAACACTCTTCGCGCTGGGATTGTTATTAGGACCGTCTCCTGACGCCTTTCACCGATGACGTTTAATGACGTCGTAAAACCGAAACGCCCTCCACCCATCGTCGATAGACTTCTGAGAAAATTTTCAGGGCCTTCTCGCTTTTTTGGACATTCAATTTGAGGTTCGTGGAGCATTCAGTGACTACAGAATAACTGATGTTGTTTGGGTAGGATTGCAAGGGTAGGCCAATACGGGTTTGGAATGATTTGCTACGTTTCGCAGCTTTATGCTGTAATAAACTGCTTCATAAGGAAAAATTGAGTATGTCTTATTGGTCACGTAATGAAGGCAAAAGCTTTTGGGAGCGTTGATGTCTACGCTGGCACAGAGAAGTCCACTAACTCAACACCCATGTCAACAAAACATTCTTAGCATTCTCGGGGCCGTAGGTGGTCTGCTTTCACGTGCCACCGTATGGCTCGGAGGCTTAGTCCGTGTTGATCATATAGTACTTGGTTTTCGCAGGTATGAAGGTAAGGGTGATTTTCATGGTTAGGAAAAAAAACAATCTGTACCGGAACCTCAGAAATGAGAGCAATGTTTGCCTTTCTGAGTGCTGGGATCGTGTGAATGAATATATAGCTCTCAATGCTTGAGTAGCTTGTTATTACTTCTTCTAGAGTTTCATTCCTGAAGTACGATGTGATTATTTGTTGTTAGATTTGATAGATTTGTATATGTTTATAAAAAAAAAATTGTGGAATAAAATGTATATGTTCGCATAAGGTAATATGTTGTCTTGCACTTTGGTAAAATAGACGTGAAATATGTGTATTTGGATGTGAGGTGTATTTTATGCCCTGTTTAGAGGGACGAGTGTATACATATCCAAACCCTCTCTAGTTCGGTGCGGTCTTATTGTGAGACTAGGTACAGAGCAAAAAATCGTAATATAACAGAGTCAACCCTGCGTTGCGCAGTTTTCAACGGCCACGTTGCGCAGTTTCGCCCGATTAGACACGTTCTCTCGCGCGAACATTCACACTCGCATGCTCGAGCCGTCTGTGTCTCCGCCCATACAGCGTGCGTTGAGGATCTCTCAACGTGCCGTTGCGAACTGCGCAACGCAGGGTTGACTCTGCTCCAACCACGCTTAGATGTCAATTGACCAATGTATAGTCCACGAAAAAAGTCAACACAGATCGTAACGATCGTCAGAATCGTTACGGCATCAAACGGCTACTATGGGTCACAAGGCTTGCGCTGTGGCGCGGGCAGCGCTCGTTCGGCTGTCCGCCGCAAAGTTTGACGGCAGCCTTATCCCCGCCATAAGGAGATACAGCTGATTTGATTTGATTTGATCATGTTGCCAGCTCATTTCAGTCTCTTATTTTGCGATATGTGGTTGGTTGTTCTAACTCTGTGTATAGTGGTGAGCACGGCGGGTGAGGATTATCACATACGGACCATCGTTTTTTTTCTCTGCGGATTTGAAATCCGTTGCCGAGCGAATCTCAGGTCCCATTTTCCAATGAAATTCAAATTATCACTGTTTAGTAACCCTTGCTGATACATAGCTTTAATATTTGTAGTGGAATTTATATTAGACTTGAATCTCGGAGAACACGAGGACAAGCAATTTCAGCGAAGGAGTGCGATGGAGGAATTGTAAACGATCACTACATAAATACAATCTATAGAAAAAACTGTACAGTAATTCGTGGTGGATTGTATTTTCTGGACGCGGATTGGTATCGTATGTGTTTGCGCATATTTTACGACACATTGGACGATTTAGGAAATTGTTCGCTGGGAAAATGTTGCGCATCTTATGGCGCAGGTTGCGGAGCGCACACAGCTTGAGGTTTGAGTGGTGTGGCCTTCTGAGCAAGCACAGTCGCGTGCACTTACCAGCTGCTGGATAGTTTTCAGAAGGAGGGCCGTAGGATAATAATGTTTGGTGCTACCGTAGTTCAGGAAGAAGAGGTGAGGGAGGAGGGCATTTCCCATCCAGCAGCGTTCAGAGTTGGCGATCGTATATGCGATTAGGCGATTAGGCGGCTAGCCTACAAGGAAGGGATACGAATCGATTAGGCGAACGCTCAGTGGGCGGAGCAACAGATCGACACGCATCCTTTCTTTTCGCCTACTCGCCTGATCGCTAATCGCCTAATCGATACGTATATTTTCTTTTGAAATCATCCTCTTGTCGCCTAGTCGCGTGTACGATCGCCAACTCTGAATGCTGCCTTAACTGCCACCAATATTGAGGGATTGATGTGGCAAACTCGTGGACGTGTTTAGACATTGATTTTGCGCAGTTTTTCGCTCCGTTGAATTATAACTTCGCTCAGTAGCTAACCTTAAAGCGCTCTGAAATGATGAGGGATAGGTCAGGTTTGAGGTATTTCAGTAGAACGTCCGAACGTTTTCTCAACTTCACTACCCTTTTACTTAACAAGGAGGATAAGGGGAGGATAGGGACTATGATAAGGACAGCACGTTGATCAGTCCTTTTTTGAGTGCGCCACGCGTACTACTTCCATTCAGGATCGTAGTGGTATTTTGAATGCGATTTGGTCCACACAATGACTAAGGGGGCAGCCGATGTAGAAATTATTCACCTCCCATACAAGTCTGGTACTAATCAAGCAACCTTGCAGAGATAGAACAATTGGCTAGGTTGGCCAGATGGCTATGAGCCAGTTCTCCTCGACACATAATTCAGGCTAATCTCCTTCTGACAAGCCTTACCCCATGAATTCACATCACAGAACAAATGATGCCAATCGTCCGGAGTTTAATTGTTTACAACCTTGGAAAATATATTAATAATAAAATGCGACTTTAGAAAGGACAGCTGCCCTTAGTGACTTCAAAAACGTGAAGAAGATCTATGGTCCTTTGCATTTTGCGGAAACAAAAGGCCTAGGGAATGTGAAATGCTTTGAAAACTTGGAAGAAATACGATCGGAAGGTGAGAAAAATCGATATTTAGCAATTGCGTTTGAAGGCACATTGGAAGGGTGAAGGTAGTAGATGGTGTGTGTCAAGAGAACAGGCTACATATCGTGCGCGACAGCAACATGCGGCAATCAGAGCGAGGTGCAGACATATTTCAATCAGGGAAACATTCTTGAATTAGGAGGGGGATATCGAGGCCTCCTCGAGAGTGCTAGGATTAGGAGGGGGATGTCCAGACCTGCTCGAGGTGTCGTAGTACCCCTAATTCGCATTATGCTGCATTCATACTCAGCGATCGTCGGAGAATCTGCGAAAAAGATTGGATATACTTGGTTGATTGGTCTGATAGATTGATTATGGCATTCAATGGATCTCTTCCAATGTGTAGGTGTAGCAGTGTCTGTACCGATCGCCTACTCTGCTTAGCAACGCATCCAACGAAGTAGCTATAGTTTATCGGTGAAACCTAAAAGCTCCACCGACTGTCAGTTCTATCAGGTTGACGGACTACTTGAACCCGGTCCTTTAAGCCGCCTCAGATCCATCTCTCGTCTGCGCTCTCTCACCTTATCAGCGCTCATGACCATTGTGATCACACACATTCAAACTTTTGCCACACTGTAGTTGGCTCACCCACCTCGAAGTCCCTCCCTCCTACAAGGCTTAGTCCTAGGGCTCTCACCTCCTTCCTGGGATTTGGAGCCGAGCCAGGCGCCGTTCTCTAACTGTCTGTGCCCTCCGCCATTCGTGGCAGGACCATGGAAGAAAGTTCAAGTAGTCCGTAAACCGTTCTATGAAAGCCTTCCGTGTCATGCGCGCGGTAGCGTGCGGAGCTAAACTGGTATTATATAAAAGGGGAATATAAAAGGGAAACTGGAGACGGAATGGGAACGGCCAAGCCGCCGGATGGCGGAGTCGAGCTAGCGACAGCTGATTTCGTGATGAACCGTGGATGACTTCGGCAGGAGGTGCACCACGTTGTATCGAGATCTCCATTCGTTATGGTAGGGCTTTCCCGGTATCTTCTGGCACATGTATCGGTCTGGTATTCCTGCTAACGACTCAGGCGGAGTAGTACACATTATTTATTTCTTTATTTATTTATGCGCCTCAAATGACGCACTCTTACAAACAGAGTAGTGAAGGTAAACACTAAATCAACCCTGAATAAATACTGAATAAATAAGCATAATGATGTCATGACAATACAAGAGAGTCATCTGATGGGTCCAATGATGACTACGTCCTAGTTCATCCGCCGTAAACGAAGGTATTCGAAGTATAGGTGAACGAGAAATGGTAAATAGGTAACATTGGCCGTCGATATGAGGGAAAGTTGACTTGTTAGAAAAGAGGGGTTCCGCATTTCGAGCCGGGATAAGAAACCCTTCAGGCTTTTATGGATCCTGAAAAGAAAAAAAAATAAAAGAAAGTACTATTTTCTATTGGTCTCTTCCAACAAAAGTTAAATGAAACTTACACGAAGCGCCTGCTTCCTTATTCTTTCTGCCCCGTCCTCATCAGAGATATTCTGTTCGGTTTGACTGTGGGCGTCGCGGCACATTGCGTGGTGCAATTCGGCCTTTTCCAGAACGCTTAATTTTTTGCCGCTCAGGTCCTTTTTTATCTGAATACACCACATCCTCTGAGTCCTGCAGAGGTCGCAATTTTCCTTAAAAAAAGCTGCCATTAGGTAGAACTTTTTCTCTGAAATTCTTCAACAGGAAAAGAAAATTGAATGGGTGGTCACCATCATCGTGCCATTCACGAAGGCTTGAGTTGAAATCAGTACTCTCCAAGTCAAGGTTGGGGAATCCAGGAACTGCGTAGTTGGAAACGTTCGACATTCCTTCTTCGAAATCTGAAAAGAAGAGGGTAATAAAAGAGAAGCCCCCACATCAGTCGAAGAAACCTCGAGTGAGAGGTAAGCTGACTATCAAGGTTTTGCATTTAATAGGGCGAGGATTAACAATTGTCGATGGATATTGGGTCATCCCAACCCAGAACCTGTCAGAATTGACAATCGTAAATCTCCGTTTCCCTCGTCTGCCATGAGGATCTGGCGCACGCACGACGCACAGGGCTGTGCTGTAACATCTTTGTCCAGAGGTGATTGCTAGATTCTAGTTGAGTGTAGTTCGAAGAAATTGTTCCTTAGAATGGAATAATTCATTATGAGGAACTGCTTGAAGAGGTGTGGATTTTTTCTTTTGAAAACAGAATTCATCGAATACAAGGAATCCATCGTCAACGCGGACATGGCGCAACTTCAGGTGCGAAGACTAACCGGGTTAGAACCAAGTAGAGTCGTATATGGCATTATACGACTTCAGAGATGTTCCCAACAACCAACAACTCCGCAATTCAAAAGGAATTTAAGTGCGTGGCGCGGCCTAACTGGTTAAAATAGTTTCTTTCAACAGTTCACTTGTTAGGGACTCTCCTGCATCAAATCAAATCTTCAAGAGGTTTGAATAATCGTTTGCTTCCAGGTGCGGCATTTATACTGCTCAACAATGTTGGCCTTCAATCGCTGAAACTCACTTCGCTTCGATTGGTCGAAAATCCAAAACCTGCCAAAACGGTTCTGCTGCACGCTAACGCTGATTTCGATACGTCAGGTTTCATCGACAAAATGAAAGCGCTGAACGTGCTTGATGAGGACATCATCAATACAACTAATGCAGGCAGGATATTTGGTTGCTGTAGAAATGTTTGTTGAGAGATTATGTGATCACCCAGCGCTCTCAGGCGCATCTACATCGACATTGCACTTTGAAAGAAGCACTGATTTCAGAGATGTACAGTTAGAGTGGGTATTTCTAGAGAAGGTCCTATGCATAAGGACCAAAGAAGGACTTTTTGCCCATAGCGCGCACCAGCAAACTGTCGAATATTAAGTTACCACGCGACACACATCCAACTCTATCTTGAGAATTGCTTCAGAGCAATTTAGCGGAGCCGGGAGCCGGGGGAGGGGGGGGGAGAACGGCCGTGCATGGTTGCTATGGCGGGGTTGCAAGATGTCCTAGGATTTCGCAAAAGAAAGCTTAAGCTCAAAAGGAAACCTACAGCTGCTGAAAAATTGCCATGTTCTTCCAAAATAAGACCTCAGTTGTGGAATGCGGTCCTCCCTTTCAGAATCCGGGAAGTACACCCTCCCCCTCCTCACTTGGCCAGACCGGTAGTTCATCTTGCGACCAAATATCTACCCACCATCTTGAACCTCACAGAGATTGGGATGAAAATCGATGAAAACTACATATTTACTCAAATCTTCTCCAAAGCGAACTTCCGA